TTCTTCAACTTATCATCTGTAGCCTTAAACACAAATTTCAGTAATTTTAAAGTTTAGATAAAATATATTCTGTATTGGAAAATTCTGTGGATCTGTTTCTACCGTTTGCTTTTTCTCTTGGCCTTTGTTTCTTTGGTTTTGTAAGCCTTGGCTTTGTACACCAGGCAAAGATGCCTGATATATTTTTTGTTGAATGCTAAACATTGTATATGAAAATTTTATCGATAATTTGATGGTACTATCTTACTTGAAAGAGGATTTACTACTTCATCTGGTAGGCTTTTATGCTGGGGCTAGTTCCAAGCTACAAATTTATTTATCTGAAACTGGGTTTCAGCGTGTGTAAATTCTTGTCTAACTTTGGCTTGCTCTTATTCTTCTGCAGCTCTCCAGGTTTTCAAATGAAAGTTTGGATCATTTTCTTGGGCTTTTCCTCCTGAAGGGTCTGAACAAACAATGACGCCTTCTAGCCACATAAGAGTTCCAAAATTTCTCTTCAGTTTCTTAGACCCTCACCTGCCCTCCAACACACAGGCAAAACAAAGTCAGTCAAGGCTAGGCTAGATCAGCTGAACTTCCCTTAACTCTCACCCAACCGTCTACCCACTGAGTGAGAAACAAGTAACTTTTGAAGTAGTTTGTTTTGCAGAATGATGGTGGGATTGAGGCCCGATATAGCACTTTTTTTCCCCTTAAACAGCTCCTACCAGCTGCATTTCTGAATTTTCAAGCACCTCACAGACAAGTCTTTCGCCATGAGGCTATCTGGCTGTTCAGTTAGAAGCAAGGGTTTATATATCCAACCCAATTTTCTGCCTGGTGAATTTCTAAGTTTTTTCAAGTTTCCGCTTCAGAAAAGCTCATCTGGATTCCTTTATCTGTCTCCTGACGCCTTATAGCTTTAGTACACAAATCTTTTAGGACAATTTCACACTGTAATCAACCATCAACTGGAATGCCTCTATGTTGTATATGCAAGCTGATAACCTGTTATCTTGGGATCCCCAGCACTATATCTGGCATTTGTTATTTGCTTAAGGTGTGGTTGTAGAACGAAGGGTAACAATGCTAATCTGACAGCTGTGTGGTATTTGATGGTAAATGAAATGCTTTTAGGAACATTATTTTATCTTGAGTTTTATGTCAAGCTACTGAAGCTTCTTACCATGTCACATAGAAAGAAACTATTTTTTTCCACAAGATTTTTAACCACTTTATAAACAAAGAAATGAGATCTCAGTGATGTTAAGTAACTGTTCTGAGATTATAAGGCTTTTAAGTAGTGGAGCTAGGATTAGAATCCGTGTTCTTTTCATTGTGCCATATGGTATCTCGATACAATCTGGCTTTCACGCATACACTGATGGGAATTTAAACAAGGCCGTTGGCACTAAATCTGACCATCAGCCAGTGTTGGCATTGCCCATCACTTTCACAGTCAGTGCACAGAACCACAAACACCTTTGAAATTCAGAATTTGTCCACTGAATAACTGAGTTTACAGAAACTAATACTTGTATTCACTTTAACTGTGAACATTCACAAAGTAAAGCAAAGTTACAAGCTGTTTTTCTATGCTTTCATGTAAGAGGAATGCTTGTGTTTGTGCAGAATTATGCCAGGAGGCCGCTGGCAGCTTTTGTCAGATGACATAGAAACATCTGTTCCAATAAATATCTTCCTCACAGACTCATTCGCAGGGAACAAGAATCTCTTCTGGCAATACGAGCACAGACCTGGTAAGGTGGCCTTAGATGGAATTGTGTTATTTTCTGTGGCCCCTCAGCTAAGTACTGGGCGTCTAGAACGTTAGGTGACCTATGATCAGGAGTTGGTTCAGCGTGGCTGGGAATGCAGGTGACTTGCCAAGCCCAGGATGGACTGCCTCAAGGTGTCTTGCCCTGAGGAGGAGGCAGGCAGGTATCTCCACGTCGAGGATTGGGGTGCAGTGTCCAATGGTGCCCGGCCCTTCCACCAAGTCCTGAGATATGGATAGTTTTGGGATTATAGTAGGAAAGGGTCAGAACACGAAAAGGAAAAGGATTTCAGCAACTGGATGAGTCTCAGTGAAAAGCGTTCCCCTTTGCAGCAGGTGCAAGGAAGTGGACGAAAGGGCTTAGAACATATCTTGCATGTTGCACAAAGGTGCCACCAGATCATTCTCATCCCTGCAATCCTCTCTCCAGCCTGTGACTCCGACTCTCCACATACTCATCACCTTGCAGTAGGCACATGGCCCCATCCCTTCCTCCCTTCCATGGACTCCTGACTTGGGACAGAAATCATCCTTGGAGAATGCAGTTTGAATTAATGAATGAAGTCTCCAAAAAAAAAAGGTTTCATCTTCCTTCCTTGCTATCTATCAAGTAACGTCAGCTACAAGAAATGAGAAAACGTTTTTCGTCTCTAGAACATTCTACAAACAAACCTGAATTTTAAAAAATTAAAAAGTTTTAAAGCAGCAAAACTGGAAACACATAAACCCCCTCCAGAAAGTAGTTAATAGTAACTATGACACGTATAAATGGGCGTCCTGATTGATTTTCTTCTGCACAAACCAGAGGGAAGTTACAGTGGGCTCTGTGCTATTTGGCTTAAGGAGTATCTAGAAAGAAGGGTGAACCTCATGGTTTCAGAGATATACAGGCATTGACCTACATTTCACTGCTATTTTGGAAGATTAAGACCACAAATGAAATGACTGTTAATTGATTCTATAAATTTTACATATGAAAAGAAACATTTTCTTAAATGAGTGTGAGTTTGTAATTTAGCTGCGTTTTAATAATGGCTTAGAAAATTAAAAAGCCTGACAAACACAGGATCGTTTCAAAGCTAGATCACGTGACACAATTGCCTTGGCCTTGACCTTGACCTTGTCCTCCACTCAGGGAGTGCACCTTGCGGAGACACCCCAGGCCAACCTTGCTGGAAGAAATTATAAGCTCCCTCCAAATTCAGCAGGCCAGGGACAGAGCGGCGACTCACATCCCAGGTGTTCAGGTCCCCAGGACTCTTTCTGCTTCATTCCTGCGTTTGTCAGCTTTTCCCCTTCACATAGACACACACATGTTCTGTAAGGTTTATTCTTCCGTCACGTATTCATATGTGTTGAACACATCATGGTAGTAACATTTATTCCCTCCTTCATTTATTTAACAGAGGTTAATTAAACCGTATGTCCTGTGTACTTTGCTAGGGACTCAAGTGACAGCAGTGAGGAAGACACTCACTGTCTGGACCTCCTGAAGATTACTTGGAAGTAGAAGAGGGAGACATTAAACAAAGAAAAGCAAGGAAGAAGGAAAGAATCTGAGAAAGAACAAACGGTTGAGCACTTTGATAAGAGCCATCAGAACAGGCAGGCTCTCACAATGTGCTGTGGGTGCACCCAGGGAAGCACCCCTGGGCTCAGTATCCCACTCGGCCTCCTCCAACCCAGACCCACAAAACTGCCATTCAGAGTTATCTGTCACCCTGGATCCCAACGGCAACCCTGCAAGGTAATCACTGTTTCCTGTTGAAAATGAACTCCACTGGTTTAGAGACGTGGCTCACACAGCCCTGCGGATGTGGATTCAGGAGATTCTCTCTGATTCGTGGCTTGTGTCCAGCCACTCTGAATCTCTGTCTCTGACTGGGGTGGGAGAAGAGGTGGTGATTTCGGCTCTGCAGGCTGCTGCAAGGTTGACCTTGCTCTAGTGTCCCCAGAGTCCCAGGCACAGGCTTTGGCCGAGTGGCCTTCCTTACTACCCCTTAGACTGTGTACACTTTAAATGTATTTCTCAATCAGGCCTCTCACCATGCTGCATATAGTGGGTGCTCAATAATTGTCCAAGGAATGAGAGAATCAAATAATAGTAGGGGCTCAATAATTGTCCAAGAATGAGAGGATCAAATAACTACATCAGCTATTTGCAACACCAAACTGATTGAAGTTCTTGTCCTCTCCGCTCTTCCTCAACACAGCCCCTAAAATAAAACAGAATTCCAGACGCATGTATGGCACGGAAACAACTACAACATCCAAATGCTGCAGCACGAAGCTGCCTCTTCCCCTTACAGAGAACGAGGTGGCCACACGCTTGGTGTGGAGCTGGAGCTGGGCAGGACCTGGGCTTCAGCAGGACACAATCCTGCTGGGATCTCAGCTCCACAGGCTGAGGTGTCTCTGGACGCCTTCGTCTCTTCTCCCGGTCAGTGACGCACAACCCATCTTTCTAAAAGCAACAACTTGCTGGGCCTGAAATACTCACTCGCAGTCTGCGAAGAAATTACCAAGACTCCCCTCTACCTCTAAGTCTCTTCTAGATGTCAAAATGTTGACTTCGTCCCTGCTAAAATGTGGCTCTGGAAAAAAAAAAAATCACATCTTTTCAAATTTTCTGCAATCCCTGTCATTTGCAGCATATGTTCGCGCATAATGATGTTCCTAACTGAAGTGACATTTCAGAGTAATGAGCCTTCAGTGACAACGTGTGAGAGATGTGACAAGTTTTCTCTAATAAAAAAAGGAGTGTAGACAAACCAAAACCCACAGCCAAGACCTTCCAGCTGCCGGGGCTCCAGTGGGGCCTGTGAACCCTGTGTGTGTGCAGCAGGCCTGTGGCCCCGTGGGCCGGCCCCCGCAGTGAGCGTGCTGGGAACTCATGTGCACTCTCGTACCTGCTGGTGCCTATCAAGTCTCACGTGCCGGATGATCCCACAGGGTTGGAGAGAGAGAGGGAGGGAGGCAAGTGCAAGGCAGGGGCCTGGCAGGAGCAGAGCCGCAGAGCTGGGCCGAGGCTGCTAGAACCCCAGCCAGCAGACGCCTTGGCCAAGTGACTTCACTCCTCTGATCTTCTCTTCCAAACGGGACGATAACAGCCGCCTCCCAGGAATAAACCAGACAAATTGCAAAAGAAATTCCTCACGGGGCTGGCACACAGGGGGTCTGTGTGCCATAAATGGAACAACTGCTTTTATTTTTAAATGTATCCTACTTTTAGCTGAAGCTGAAGGATCCTCTGAGTTAAGGGTTTGGGCGACAGACACCTTGCCTGCTTTGCCTCCTGAGAGGAGAGCATTCGTGGCCTTCATCTGACAAGGTAGGTGGATGCCGGGGTTGTCTCAGTGTTGCTGCTTGGCAGGGCCTCTGCTCAAGACCCCCGAGGACCACTCCAGGGTGGTGGGCTCCAGTCCATGAGAGCCAAGAGGATGCAGCTTACCTGGGGAGCGGGGTGCATAAAATGGACCTGTGCTCCACCCCATGGGAGACCCGGTCTTCCTCCTTCCCCAAAGGGGCCAGCCTTTGTCCTGGGGGCAGTGACCCCAGGGTGGGCCTCAGGGCTGGGCACGGGGAAGGCAGAGGGGCCCACACCCTCAGCTATGGAACTCCAGGACCGGGTGTGTGTCCTGAAGAGGCAGGGCTGCTCCACATCACATCCCAGTGTGCACTAGGGCCATTAAGAGGGGCTGAAGAAAATTTATCTCTTTCAGCTCTCCCAGCATATCTGTTTGATTTGGGGCCAATCTGCACAGGAGGCTGAGAAGGAGGCTCGCTCAGCGGAATGTTCCCTCATTACCTTTTCCCTGGGGATGGGCACCAGGCACTGGAGACACGTTCTCCCCTCGCTACAATTTATGTGCCCCCTCAGGATCATGCCCGGGGTCGGAGACACGAGGCCCATGTATCTTTGCTTTACTTCCAAGCCGGAAGCTCCTTGAGTAACGGAATTTGTCTTTGAGGTGAGGGTAGGGACAGGGTTGTCGATATAGGGCTGAGTCTAGTGGACACCTCCTCGCCCTTGAAGAAACAAGGCTCAGAACGAGCCTGTCCTAGTCCAGCTGTAAATGAAAGCCAAGCTGGGTGCTGACCCCAGAGGTGAAGGAGATGAGTGTTGACTTCAGCTTGGTGCAGGTGCAGCTCTCTGGATTCCCCCCTGCCAAGTTGGGTGCCCACCCCAGAGGTGAAGGAGGCGGGTGTCGACCTCAGCTGGGTGTGGGTGCGGTTCTCCAGGGCCCTACCTGCCCCCAGGTCACTGGTGATCTGCCCTCCTCTGCACAGTTTCTGTGCCTGGTACACGCCTCTATTTAGCTATAGTTTTGGTGATTTGAATTGTGGCCCCTAAATGATCCATTCATGCAGAACCTGGGAATGTGGGATTATTTGGAATAAAATCTTTGTAGAAGTCATTAAGATGAGGTCATCCTGGATCATGGTGGGTCCTAAATTCAAACAGTATTGTCCTTGTAGGAGACAAAAGAGAAGGCACAGGGGGAAGAGGTCATGTGAAGATGGAGGCAGAGGCTGGAGTGCTGCATCCATACTCCAGGGACCTTGATTTCAGACTCTGGCCTCCCATGCTGGGAGAGAAGCACTGTCCATTGTTTTAAGCTGCTGGGTTTGTGGTCACGTGTTATCACCGCCCCCCGCCCGCTGTGAGCTTCTCATCCGTCCTGTGTGCTGACTTCCCCAGGAGACTCCCGTCTCTTTGGGAATGTCTGTCCAGTAATTAGTCATGTCTTCGTGCTTGGGCCCCAGCACACAGTAGGTGTAGGGCTCGTTAAACCACACTGAGTTCCACACACTTGAACACGTGGCATCTCTTGGAAGACACTCACTGAGAGAAGAGAAGATTCTATCAAGGAGGAAGAAGGGCTTGGGAGGAAACAATTGAGGGGAACAAAGGAAGGGGAGTGTGAGGCAGTTTTTAACCAGCATTTCAAAAGCAGGAGTCCTGGCCAGGGCCAGCTTGTGAGGGAGGAGGGAGTGTCCACTTAATGGACCCAAATCACTAAAGCAGGTTCTTCTGATCTTTTAAGGAGCAGAATTCAATGCTGAGACACAGACAGTGGGCTGTGATGAGGCTGGGCTGGGAACAGCGATGACCTACCCAGAGGCAGGCAAATGATGAAGGTGGGAAGTGCAGTCCCGGGGACAGGTAGGCCTGGAAACCCAGTGATGTCACTCATGTCATATCTAAACCCCTTTCTGCTATCTTGGCACCTCTGCGAACTGATTAAACCCTCACGGGGGGCTGCCGGCATCGAGGATGCACTTCTCCCCATACCTTGTGCAAGGACCGTCCCTACCTCCTGTGAACAGAGGTGGGTAACTGAGGCCTCCATGAATGCTCACTGAGCTCCTAGCGTGTGCTAAGTGCTCTGGGTACTTCACACGCCGCCCCAGGGCTCCCTGGCCCTGCCTGTGTGGTGGTGGCATGCAGCCATATTCAGAGACGTGCTGTAGAGCACGGTGCCTGCGGTTAACAGTCCAGTCTCACACTTTAAAATACATTAGAGGAGAGACCTCATGTTAAGTGTTCCTACCACACCCACACCCACACACTCCAACACACATACACACACCCTCACACCCACCTCCCCATTCACACACAGAAAGCAGCGGGAAATTTGGCAGGCGATGCTTGCCTTTAGTACTTGATGGTGAAGATGGCATCTCAGGCACACGCCTGCGTCTACACTCATCGAAATGTATCCTCCAAAAGTGTGTGATTCTTGTATGTCAATTATAGCTCAATAAAGTTTCAGAGGACGGGTGCGGTGGCTCACGCCTGTAATCCCAGCACTTTGGGAGGCGAGGTGAGTGGATCACCTAAGGTCAGGTGTTCAAGACCAGCCTGGCCAACATGGCAAAACCTTGACTTTACCAAAAAATATTAAAAATTAGCTGGGCATGGTGGCAAGCACCTATAATCCTAGCTACTCGGGAGGCTGAGGCAGGAGAATCACTTAAACCCAGGAGACAGAGGTTGCGGTGAGCCGAGATCCTTTGACTGTACTCAGCCTGGATGACAGAGTAAGACTCCATCTGGTGACGTGTCTTTGGGAAGACCCTGAGTGCTTCCCAAATTCAGAGGCCATGCTTGCAACCCACAGACCCTGACCATGCCTCTCGGATCCCTGCAGGACTTGGGGAGCTGCTTCCATGATGGACCTGAGGAAGGGCCCGTTGCATGGGACACTGCGGCCACCACGGTAGGAGCACAAGAGGCTTTGGTCTTTGTATATTGCCGGAGGGTGAGCCAGGGTGATTCAGCCAAGCTTGGTGATGATGCCTGCTGCCCCTGAGACACAGGGACCCATTCTCCTCAGTGCGTGTTCAACAGGAGGGGTGGACATTGTGCTTGTTAGGTGCATACCGTGCATCAGGAAGCTTCATCCCTGAGGCCCTGTGGGGCATATGCTATTGCACCTCATTCTACGAGGTTAAAACAAGACAAAACAAAGTCCAGCAGGTTCACAGGGCTCCTGGAGGCACATGGCCAGGCACCACGATGCTGGACCGAAAGTCCTGGGGTGCAGGACAGGTGGGCTGAGGGGGGACAGGGGCTGGGCCTGGGGTTGGGCTCTGCCACACGCACTGGTGCTCAGGACAAGTCACGTGTCTGTGCATGGACATGCAGGAAACTCTGAGTCCTCACCTTCGTCTGCACCTCCCGGGAACAACACAGGAGACTGGCTCTTCCAGAACTAGGCCAATGTCCTCACGAAGGCCAAGATTTAGGCAGCACAACCAAGAGATGATGTTGTCCAAATGCTTGTTGAAGTAGAGACACCCACTGATTAAAAGCTGCAGAAGCCTCGCTATCCAGATGCATTTACTCTTCGGACATTCCAGGATTTGACTGAGCAAGGAACAGGATTCAGTCGGATGCTCTCAGGTCAGCTGAAACCTGCTGCTGCTTTGCCCACCCTAAGCACGTTTTTTAAAATTTTAATTGATATGATAATTACACCTATCTATAAAGTGTCTGTGTATGTAAACATTGTGTAATGATCCCGGGTAATTAGCAAATCCACCACCTCCAACATTGGTCATTTCTTTGTGGGGAGAACATTCAAAGTCCTCTCTTCTGGCTCTTTTGAAATCTACAGCACCTTATTGTTCAACGGTCACCTCACTGTGCAATGGAACACTGGGATGCATCCCTCCTCCTAACTGTACCTTAGTACCCTTTGACCAACCTCTCCCCATCTCCGCTCTCCCTACTCCTCGTTCCCCAGCCCCTGTAACCACCATTGTCCTCTCTACTTCTATAAAATTAACTTCCTGTTTTTGAAGGTGGTTTAAAAGAAAAGTCAATAGGCTTTTGGGGAAAAGGAGGTGTTTGAGGAGCAGCTCTTTAGTGGTGATTTCTGAGATTTTGGTGCATCCATCACCTGAGCAGTGTATACTATACCCTATGGGTAGTTTTTGTTTTTTGGTTTTTTTTGAGACAGAGTCTCGCTCTGTCACCCAGGCTGGAGTGCAGTGGTGTGATTTCGGCTCACTGCAACCTCCACCTCCCGGGTTCAAGTGATTCTCCCCACTCAGCCCCCTGAGTAGCTGGGATTATAGGCATGCATCACCACGCTTGGCTAATTTTTGTATTTTTTTAGTAGAGACAGGGTTTCACCATGCTGGTCAGGCTGGTTTAGAACTCCCAACCTCGTGATCCGCCCGCCTCAGCCTCCCAAAGTGCTGGGATTACAGGAGTGAGCCCCCGCGCTCAGCCTGTGCGTAGTCTTTTATCCCTCATCTGCCTCCCAACCTTCCCCCGAGTCCCCAAAGTCCATTGTATCATTTTATAAGATCAACTTTTTAAGATACCACATATGATTGTGATTATACGGTACTTGTCTTTCTGTGCCTGGCTTATTTCACTGAACATAACGCCCTCCGGGTTCATCCACATTGCTACAAATGACAGGACTTGGTTATTTTTTATGGCAGAATATTATTCTATTGTGTCTGAGGTTGTGAAGAAAAGGGGAATTTATACACTGTTTGTGGGAATGTAAACTAGCACAACCATTATAGAAAGCAGTATGGAGGTTCCTCAAAAAATTAAAAACAGAACTATCATGTGATCCAGCAATCCCATTTGCGGGTAGAGCATAGATTGAAGTCAATCTGTCTCTATCTATCTAATTGAAATACCTGCCCTCCCAAGTCAATTTCAGCACTATTCACAATAGCCAAGACAGGGAATCTACCGAAGCATCTGTCCCTGAAGAGTGGATCCAGGGAATCTGGTACGTACGCAATCAGATCTGTTCCTGGTGCTCTGTCTTGGTTGCGATCAGCATCTCCCTGCTGCTGTGGTGCATGTCTGCAGCACAAGCCTGCCTTTGTCTAGCCTGTTGAGGATTGAGAGTCTTATATCCAAATAGTGTGTAAAATTGCATCATCAAGCCCAGAGAGGGAAGGACCAAGACGCCTTTTCTTGGGCAATGAGAATGGAATCTGGGACTTGTACTCTGCTGCTCAGAGCCTATGCATTTAACCTCTTCATCTCCCAAGACGTCCCGGTGTCTTAGCTAAACTTTTGTCACAGAGGAAAACTTTTTGCACTGGAATGTGCTCATGCACCGGGCGGGGATCCCTGAGTGCAGCTGGTGGAAGGGAAGCTCGTCCCAGAATTTATACAGCTCCTTTCCCCAAGGAGCCCCAAGTCTTACAAATGCCATCATTTTAGCCTTTTATGTACTCGTTACAGAGGTTTTGGAAATATTTTAAAATTAGACAAGCCTTAGCGTAGCTTGTAAAATTAAAAATAAACTGTAACAGCTTTAATGATGTTGTATTAAATGCCAGGCCTAATATCACCTCCCATTTCTTTAATACTTTATGGCTTTAAACACACTTTTAAATAACTTCACATCATGTACAATTTTCAAAACAATGTTGTCTGGCAGCAGGAGGGTTGCCCCGTCTCTCACGCTGGGTGGTTGGCAACTTGAGTCTTGGCTGCCCTGTGACCGAGGATGGATTTCCTGACAGAGACCCAGAGTCTGAGTACAGTTCTAGAACCTGCTGCCGTTGGTCCGTCCTGCCCTGACCTCATCCTCAGACTCACACTGTTGACTCCCTGCCACCCTCAGATCCCTTGGACCACAGCTCTGGGCCTCCCCTCACCAGGAATCCTACTGGAGACAGGATGGGGTGCTCTCCCTAATTTGGGAGCTCCAGGAGGGCGGGGACTTTGAGTGTTTTCGAGTGCTGTAGCCACTACCCATGGGACAGAATCCCATGCAGATAACCCACACTGTCTACCCCACAGGGTCTGCTGGGGACAGCCAAGGACAGGCTTCGGGACTGTTCCCATCCCTCTTTGTTCCAACTCCTGCCTCTCTCCAGCTGCATGACTTTTGGCAGGTTCCTTAACCCCTCGGGGCCTTGTTTCTTCACCTGCAATGCGGTAACAGTGCCAGGCAGCATCTTCATCCATGCAAGAGCTCTGAGAACGGGAGCATTCCTGAATGCCAGCACCTTGCCCATCCGCTTGCTCCCCCATCCCAGTTTTAGGCAAGTTCGTTCGTCCTTCCTTCCTTCCTTCCTTCCTTCCTTCCTCCTTCCTTCCTTTCTTTTTATTTTATTTTTTTCCGAGTCTTGCTCTGTTGCCCAGACTAGAGTGCAGTGGTACAATCTCAGCTCACTGCAACCTCTGCCTCTCGGGTTCATGTGATTCTATTGCCTCAGCCTCCCAAGTAGCTGGGACTACAGGCGTGTGCCACCATGTCCGGCTAATGTTTGTATTTTTAGTAGACACAGGGTTTCACCATGTTGACCAGGCTGGTCTTGAACTCCTGACCTTGTGATCCACCCACCTCTGCCTCCCAAACTGCCAGGATTACAGGTGTGAGCCACCACGCCTGGCCTTAGTCAGGTTTTTGAGAGTTTCATGAGTGGTGATTCTCCCAGTCCTCATCCTATGGAAGGTAGCCATGGCAACCCACCGCTATCTGTCAAGGACTCATCTTCTCCATGCCCAGTGCCTGCCATGCCACAGAGGGGGATGGATGCCTGTCAGCGGCCAGACAGAATCCAGGTGACTTAGAGGGTGGCTAGGAGGGAGGTCACCCTGAGCTCGGTGGGAGACAATGGTGCTGACCCAGAGAGCGGCCAAGGTAGGACAGCTCCCTCCCCATCCCTGGTTCTGATTTTTCATCTATAGTCTGGGGAGACTGGCCTCAGTGAGCTCTGAAGCCCCCTAACCCTAAAACCCCAGGGTTCCATGCAGGACCAGCTATAAAATGTATGGGTCCTGGTGCAGGAATTTCAAGACCATGGTGAGTGGTCCCAATGCACCTGCAAAGGCTGCTGTGCTTGGCGCTGGCCTGGGCTTAATGATTGCAGAGTCTTGGAGGAACAGGAGGCAGGGAAGCTGGAAGAAAGGTGGACGGCAGAGTAGCAGTCTCAGCAGGACTGAAGAAGAGCCGCCCCGGCCACTGGAGCCCCTTCCCTTACTGGAGAAAGATCCATGTGCAGGAAGATTCCAGAAGTCTTTAAGGGAATTGCAGGCCAGCCTCTGCCATGACAGGCCCTGAGCGAGGTCTTGCATGTGCTGACACCTAAGCAACACAGGACTGTCTTCTCCCTCCACTCTGAGCATTTTTGCTAACCTTGATCTCCCCAGCAACAAGGGGGAGGCAACAGCAGTCATCATGTCTGGGGTCTCCAAGAGGCAGATGCTGTGCTTGGCTCTACTGTTGATGGGCATTCTTTCATTTAAATATTTAAATAGCTTTTAGCTTCTCAGGGTTATAGATTACAGAACAGAGTCTCAGAAATCCTGAGTGACTTGCCTGGGTTGCTAAGAATTTGGTCATGGTGGGGCCAAAAATTGAAACCAGGTAGCTACCTCCAAGAGCCCAGGCTCTTGACCTCCTCCTGTGGACTTAGGTGGGTGATCTTACTGAGAGTCCTGGGCCTCAGAATGACACTTGGGATCAGCCACACTTGAATCTATCCTCAACTGCTTATTGGTTTTGTGACTTCAGAAAATTCCCATAGCTTTCCAAAATCTCATCTCTTTCTGCACTGTAGGAAGAGCGTTCAAAAGGAGGCTTGTTAAGAAGACAGGAGAGGCTGAATGCACTGCTCCAGGCACAAAACCTGCTCAGCGGAGGAGCTCCACCAACAGTAGCCTGGCTGCTGCTGTTTTCCTTCCCTTTCCTCCTCTGATCCCTCTCAACCTTATCAGAGACGGAACTGCTCCTCCTGGCATTTCATCCACTCTCCCCCATTCCTCCTCCCTCCAGCAGCCCTCACACCAGCTATTTTTTATCCAGCGTATTTGTTCTGGGCACATAAGCTTTTGCTCAAGTCATTCTTGGCATGATAGCTTGAAAATGGCAGAGTAGCAGAGTGTAGCTCCCTCCAGCTGCTGAAAGACTCTCCTCTCTCCCCAACTCCACCCCACCATCACAGCAGGTGTGCTCCCAGTGTGATGACCCTGCAGGAGTCACGTGGTGTGTCCACTCAGGCTCTCCATGTGTATTTTGCTAGAGACCAGATTGACATGAGCTGAGAGATGGGATCTTCTTTCATGCTCGGGCTGTGGCCTGGGAAAGACTGTTTTTCTCTTTTCTGCAAGTGTGAGACAACAAAACAAAGGCTCAAGGTATCATCAACAGTCATCTGAACAGGTCCTGAAGAGGTTGGGCGCTCTGACCTCTCTCAGCAAGGCTGCAGACATGTTTTCATAACTTTAACTGGCCACCCAGTTGCTTCAACAGCTGACTGGCTTTAAGAAAAGGCCTGCTAAGGAGAAAATCATTTCTCCAATTCTAGCAAAGTGAAGGCTTATTAGCAATGGTGCCCTCAGGTGATTTCCACACTGATATGCTTCAGTAGCAAGGGCAAGGTCTTTAGGGGAAAAAAACAGGAAAACTCCTT